GAAAAAACTACAGATTTTTTACCCAACTTTTCTGAAACGTATAAGATCTCGCTTATCCTGGAATGAACTCACGTTTATGGTGTTTCCTAGCATCTCAGCGTGGAAGCCAGTGTTTTCTGAGAAGTAAAAAAGTGATTAAATTATCAAGTGACTGAGGAGAGTATAGAATGATCAGCATTTCAATTTTGAATTTCCTAAGCGGATGAGAAACTGAGGCAAAAAATGACCTCTACGCGGCTTCTTACATAAAGCCTAAAGGTGGACTTCGGGTGGAACAAGTCCTGCCACCAAAAAAACTTGTCCATATTCACAATGTTTAGTAATTCAACTCATCACTGAATTTAAAAGTCACTGAACTTTGCCTAACGTTTCACTGTCGAACCACTGCATAATGTATGGGGCTGGAGAGAGAGGATGCCGTCAAACGGTGCAAAGCTGATGCAACTTTAATGAGAGTCCGATATAGGAATAAACACTGTGATTTCGCAAGTAAGCTTTTGTGTATATTACGTTGCCACGTTGCACACTGATGTTGCTCAAAGATGGCTGATCCAAAAGCGTCAAAGGGAGCACACCTTCAGCGGTGCGATATCCAACTAGTGCCACATGAAAAAGATTAGCACATGTAATGCTTTGGGATAATTTATCTGGCCGCGGTCACCGATGTAGTTACGGAAATTTTGGAAAACTTCCGGTCGTCCGAATTTGAATACCGAAATGGACCCCCTTGCTCGTTTACTCAAGCATTGTAAGTAGTTTACAATGATTCAGTTGAAGTTTCGTTATCCAGGAAACAAATACAAGCTCTCATCAAATTTGCGGAACGATAAATCCACCTCCAGAGTCAAGGCTGTCTTACACAAATGAGTGCCACCAAAGTCCCGATATGTGGTTAAGAAGTAACCACGACCGACCCGTAGTCATGAGACCCTGGTTTGAACACAGAAATGTTATGTGTAGAGTTTTAAAAACTGGATTCATTCGTACTCCTGAAACCTTTCGCAACGGTCGCAGATTTTCACGTCTCCTTTGAAACCAACTCAAGGTGGAGACTCTGAAAGGTGTGGTTGGTAACCGATTTCAGTGGCGTTCATGTGATTCACTCTCCAGGAACAAGTTCAAACATCAACTCATCCGTAAAAAATTGCTGCCTGAATTTGCAGTTGGCCCGACAGCCCAGGATGATTAGGTGCTTGAGGCTTCAAATCAATGATTGTGTTTCGAATCCAGCCTTTTGTGCCTTTTTATGCAAAAAATTTCAAGGCTGTTTTAAACAATCCGTTGCATTTTATTAGACGAACCCGTCCACTAGATCGGTGAGTAAGTAGTTTCATTGGATTTTGAGCCAGTCAGGGAACCATTCCATTTCTCATGACCCGCCAAATTTATCAGTGCTGGGTGTTTTATCTGATGTTTCTGTTTGCTGGTTAGTGGGGATGACTAGCATCTACGGTAGATTGATTAGGGGGTAGGATTATTTTTCATGATGAATCTGGATATGCCCAACCTGGTTGTTTTCACTCTTGGACAACTTAATGGAGAACTACCCTTGATTAATTCAAAGATTTCGATCACCTGTGTTCATCAAATGTTCCGAGACCAGGGGTATGGGGATGAGTCGAGGGGGTAATAATCTGGATCTAACCCTGTTTCGATTTTGTACATTTAGACACAAACCGTTTTGCTGTTACCTGCACACAGCCTCGGGTCACCTAGGCTGATCTAAGACAGCGCTCCAAAAGTTCGCAAGTTCTACCCACGCAATTCTATTCACGCTGGGATCCCCTTGGCGATTTCCACCGCCAGATTCACCAGTCGCTGTGGTGTGAATCCTAAACCCCGTCTCAGGATCTCCAAATTTTCTAAATCTTTCCTAGCCCAGTATATACTGCATATTCTGCCATTGCCGGATCTTTGACTATGGCCTAGTATTCATCCTTGTTTCTCGGTTGTCCAATAACCTATGCTCTGATGTGCAATTCCCTGGCTGTCTACAAACCTATATAAACATTCGTACAATCGTTACATTTTATTTTGTATACACAGTCTGTAGTCCTATCAACAGGAAGCCGACCCTTTGAATGCACCAACACCGAGCGTGACGTTTTTCCCTTCTGGAATGCTACTCTGATGACTGGTTGACTGTTTCTGCGTCCAACAGGGTGGTTTGAAAGTCTGAGTATGTTGAGGTCATTCGCGAATAAGTTTCGGGAATCCGGTCATTGTTTCACCGATCGAGTCGAGTCCTCATTCCAGCTGAAAGTAAGTGAGTGAAGTGGGTCAGTCATATTTAAAATATAGATTCTGTATTCTCTAGACCTGCATACGCGCAAAGTAAGTGAGTGAAGTGGGTCAGTCATATTTAAAATATAGATTCTGTATTCTCTAGACCTCTTAAGCATACGCGCAGGACAATTGTTGCAGTCATCGATCTGGAATTGCCATTCCGCTGTAAGCAAGTAGGCAACCAGCAGCAGCACCCGAGGTCGGCGGAAGCGTCAGTGGATTTGTCGTGGTTTTCGACAAGTTCACGTTTTGCACGGTTCCATGAAAACCAATTTGTTATTGAAAAAAACATCGATTGGATTCACTTCCAGACGCCCACAAACCAAACGGGCTATCATGCTCAGGTGAGCCCTTCGAATTTTAGAGTGTGTTTTCTTCGACACAAACACTACTATTGGAGCATCATTACTATTTTCAGATTATATGGCTTGTGTAGGTTGATCATCCATTCCTGGTTAAAACAACATAAAAGAAAATCTTGCCACGCACATCCGCAATTTGGAGAAATAAGGATGGTGTTCACTGACAGTGATGTAATTACAAAGAAACCTCCTACTGGTTTGAAAGAGCACATCCAATGAGTTTCATGAACTCGTATTTTTAGGTAAAATAAAACCATAAGGAACAGTAAACTCCTCGGTGTAAATCTTTGCGTGACCTTCAGTTTTCCTCACTTAGATCAACCACAATTGCCTGGAAATCGACGGTTTACGCATTGCATAAACATGAAGCTTTTGAGGAGTTTCCATTCGGATTCGGACCAGTTTGTCAAGCCTTATCTTGACGCACCGAAAAACCAATTTGTCGAATACACATTTCCACTATGACCTATTAATACTAGAAACCGTATTGATGTCGCCCTTGGACAAAAATTTCCAGAAGCCAGCCGATGCGTGAAACCAACTTGCAGACTTAGTTTGCTGCTCACTACTGTCTTAAGAAGACAGGCGCTCAACGAAATGATTCACATTTGTCCTAGAAAAGATAAAAAATCACCAACGTACACGCATTGTTGGAATAAGTGTGTGCAAATGATCAGTCATTGAACACGCTGATGAAAATGGTTGATCGTACCCGGATTAGCATAAACTTTGTACTGCAGACCTATTAGATTTGTGGCGGAACGCTTTTTTACACCATCGTCAAATATTTGCAAGCCAAAGTTCGACTCACAGCAGACGCACAGTATATAAATCCAGGCACATGAAATTTGAAGTAGTCCGGATTACGATGCGTCGTTGTTCGATCCTTCTCGCGTTCCTCTTCTGCATCGACCACGTTGGATGTTTGGAAGCCGCCGGTGTCCACGATTGGTCATCCATATTTAACAACCAGCTGTCAAACACTGGGTTGTCAACAACTGGGTTGTCCTGGTCGCTGGTTCCAACACCTGGGAAAATTATCGACATCAAGTAGGTTTCCGTCCTTTTTTATTGGTCTGAGGCTCGGAAGTTCACGTAATCCCTCAAGAAAGGGTTTTTAAAGTGTAAGTTTGCAATAATGGTCCACCAAACAGATGTGTCCCACCTCATTTCCTCCATGACTGTGACATTTCACTCTAAAAGGCGGTCAATAGAAGCCATCACTAATGGACACAATATTGAACGCACATTTCGTGGACTGTATTGGTTTTCGTAAGTATTTCCTTGTCGTAAAGCAATATTACGTTTTGGGTGGGGTCGATTCTCCCATTATATTAAACTCAGATTTTACGGAGGTGCGTAGTGTGATTCACGTTACTCGGAATCCAACATCGTCACCCATAAGTGTTTTATGGTGCGTTATGTTAGGTGAAATGACGACCTCTGAGTGAAAGTTATGGTGTATGTCAAACACGAATTTGATGGTTTCCAAGCCACTACTAATCAGTTGACGTGACGTTGTAGCTTCATCATATTGGAGAAACGCTCACGGGCCCCGCAGAACAGTAGCCTAAAGTGACCTGCTGTATAAATCAGGTCTCCGAAAACTCAACAAAATCCACTGACCTACCAGAAACATTGGCTCTCACGGCGAAAGCACCGAAATCGCTAGGCAATGTGAGCGGATGAATATACACTACTTGGTGAGATCAAGTGTTTGGAATAAACATGTGGTCAACTTGGTTCGCCCGCTCGTCTATCGCATGCAGCGGGTTATGCGAGAATCGTATTAAATATGTTACACATAATCAGTGCGTGCGTATGCATTCTTAGGTTTCGGTGGGCAATAATACAGTGCCACTGAGTTTAGCCCCAATGTGACTATTTACCTAGCACACAAACGAACAGATTCGGACGTATTTTCTAAGCCAAGTGATAACAGTATTATACAGCTTCGGTGAGCAGGTCGTTGTACGAACACTTGATTGAATGTAGAACTGTGGTCCATGCGAGCCCGCCCACAGTAGAATCCTGCTTCCTGTTCTTGGGATACTGCATCCGAATGCTGTTTGAAGAACTGATAATCCACCAAGTATGGATTATCCTACACACTTTGCTTACCTTGGTCATTGGCTTGTTCGCTGAGCTGAGGTGACGTCATCAGTGCGTTATTATGGAGGGTAGTAATGTGTAGCGGTACGCAGTACTACGCTCCACAATAACGCATTGATGATGTCACCTCTATTAATGATGAAACGTTTGTAATCAAATTGCCCAGCTCAGCGAACAAGCCAACGACCACTATCTACGATACCTGAACTACCAAAATTTTCCTCTGCTTACCTTCTTTAGCCTCCATGCCACACTCTGCCTGTTATCCTTAATTCACGTGTCATTTGTGATCTCATCCAGGCGGACGTTTACCACGCGTACCAAGTCGTGCGTGAAAACAATGTTCCACCGGAGAATATAATTACCTTCGCATACGACGATATTGCAAACAGTCGCAAGTAAATATCGCGTACAATTTTCGCTATATGTTGGCAAATAGAGTATAGAAAAGGCGCTTCGTTGTTTGGCTTTGACACGAGTCATTATCTTGCCCTATTTCTCATGTATATAATTGTTGAATTTGAGTCGTGGTTAATTATGAGTTTTTGTGTGTCACGTCAGATGTCATATCAGATTTTTTGGGAGATGCCATTTTATGAATACTGTAGACGCCACAGAACTCTGATGCAAGCAGCACATTCTGATGATAATGATGATGATGATATGTACTCTTTTGAATACTCGTTTCCGTAGCCTGAAATGAAAAATATAAATATATACATGTCGTCTGAATGCATCGGCCCGATGATGATTTGGAGCAAATTGTAGGCAGACAATCTAGTCAGCTCAAAATTTTGTAATGCAGCCAAACGCTCTACGACCTTATAAAAACATTAAACTTTGGTTCTTTTGTGGAGACTGCAACAATCAATCGCAAGTCTTTTATTGTTTAATCATTCGTTCGGCTGTAGCGTTTTACGGGTGCCTAGCCGCCATGACACGCGAAGTTTGCACGAGGTCTGGATTACTGGCAGGTTTCCCAAACCTAGATATATGTGATCGGGAGGCACAAGACTCAGCGCTACTTTTCATTCTTTCATTTCAGAAACCCGTTTAAAGGCAAAGTGTTCCATGACTACGAGCACGAGGATGTCTACAAGGGCGTGGTAATTGACTACCGTGGAAAAGTAAGTCCGTGTTCCGGTGCGCAGCAATCGAGTGAACTCCTGCATCAGTTTACCGTGTAACACAAGCTGCAATTAAAATAACACTGTGGATTAAAACACAACACAAAATGCAGGGCAGATTAATCAGTTTTACCATAGTACAGAATGGTCAATCCACTTGGTCGAACACCAGTCATCAGGTTATGGAGTACCCTCAGGCAACCCATGACCGAGTTCAGCCTTCTTCATTTGGCCTATCAAGTAGTTCAACGTTCTTGTTAAAAGAACCACGAAATGTGCACTAAGACATACAGTGCACGAATGGTTTCTCAGGGGAAATATCCTATGATATCCCGAGTGATTCGCCAACCTAAACAAGTAGCGTGTTCAGGACAGCACATTCAGTTGAAGAATATTATAGATCAGAGTTGCTCAACTGTGATTCAGTTGAGTGCTGATGAGTGATACTCACTTCAAGATAGCGGCTATTTCTCACGTATGTGGCATTCCTTACCTACTGAGGTAGATGAGGGCTAATTTGTAGTGCTTCCAGGTAGTCCAACTTCAACTCAACTAGCAACCCCAGGATTGAGGAGTAAATGCAGATGTCATGCTTGATAAACAGACCAACAATCCAATTATTCAGTTCTCAGCACACATCAATCATCGAGAATAAAATGTGAGTGAAGATGGACGGGAGATGTTAGATTTCAATTATTTCTTAGGGTGAAAATGGATCGTTGCTTGGAAGAGAGTGAAACTGGGGAACTACATTTTCAGTAGAATAATTGGTCATGCATGTTCATCCGTTTTAGGATGTCACACGGGATAACTTCTTGAAAGTATTAAAAGGCGATAAGAAACTTGAAGCCAACAAGAAGAAGGTGCTTAAAAGGTGAGTTGTCGCCGAAGTGGATATTGTTGATGCACTTGCTGATCACAGGCAGAATATTAGTTTTGCAGGTCACCGTCTTCGGATTTACGAAAAGCGTGTTATGTATTCTCGTAAGTAATTTGGTACATAATCTCTTCGGGTAAGCCTCACTTCACGGGAAACCCGGTTCATCCATTTGCGACTTTTTGTTATTATTTAATCATAGGCGATGGGAAGCATCGACATAAAAGACAAGCCAGAAAACGAGGCAAATTTTTATTCACTCGCCCAATATAAGTCTCCCATCCGTTTAATTTTACACTTTTTGCGTGTTTTCTGATTAACCGATGTTTTGCACAGGGGCCTGTGATGGATGTTTCCGTACATATTCCCAACTGTCGTGAACCGATCTTTTTCGTTCGCAGTTGGAAAGAAGCCCCCTTGGTTTAGAACTTTTGTGAACTCTGATTGTTAAGCCATCATACAGTGCTGCTTAATAGTTGGTGATCTGCTCTCATTCAGCTTTGCTTCCGGGAACTTAGTGCCTCGTGGTCTGTTCGGTCGCCATTCTAAGGCAGTGGTTTGGTAGCTGTTTATATAGGCTTTATTCTGAGGTTTCACGAGTCCTCACAATAGCTTGTTGTGCGGAGTTCCCGCACTCACCCTTCCAAAGCACTCAGTTTGACAAACAGTCATTTCTGAACTCACCCGCCTAATGGTAACAGATGGGTTGCACTTTATTTGCTGCCGCCTGGAGTATGAAGTTTCCACTGCCTGTCAAGGACAGACTAGTTTTCTGCGAAACTACATTTTCAGACAGAATATTTCGGTCGGCATACTCAAAAGAGATACTTTTTAATTGACATATTTTGATTCTAATCGTTTGTCTTTTGAAATTTTGCTAACGTTTTACAAAACTGAATTTTGGGTGAGCTCGACGTTATATTTTCCGTCAAATTTTGCCCATTCTGGTAGGCTTTTCTGCTTTAGGCACATTCGTTAGCAGATCAAATAAGCAAATTAAGAGAAAGGTGGTTAAAAGCTTTTCCAATAATAAGTTGAAGTAATTCAGTTTTTCCAATGCCGCCTGCAGTTAGTTGGGATAGAGAAGTATAGAGAAACGTTCTATAGAATAGGTGATCAAAGGTGATAAATTCACATGCAAAATTAATAAATTTTGTTAATCGGAACGGCATTTGCTAGAACAAACTCCAAAAAATCAGGCTAAAGCAAAACAGCAATTCAGAAACTACCAATCAAAATGTACTACCGAAACCAGAAGTCGGAGAAAGAGCCAATCGGCTGTGGAAAGCCAGAATGCAAAACATTAGAAATCGGTAACGGGTCAGTCAGACCATGAACGAATTGTCTTCAGACAGAAATTACATAAAACAACAATCGAATTCAGGGATGGCAGCCATAACGCAGCACAGTTCGAAATTGACCATTTGGACCCCGAGAAATATATGTTCCCATCAACCAGTCACAGCCGTATAATATCAGACAAGCATGGAAGAACTTCCAACCCAACCACTCACTGATGAGGTCACTTCGGTTTGTGATGAAACATTTGCAAGCCGATCACTACGAGCAGAGAACATATGAACACCATCTTGGTCTACGGCCAACAAACTAAACATTTCGGGATCAATTTTAGATATCCCTGTTCAAAATTAGGATCACCCAACATGGTCATAATATTTTTCCTCAGTAGTGTATATATTAAGTAGATATTTCATTAAACAGGTGTAATCATGATAACAAGAGCATGTTTTCAAAAGTGCTGGGTGTCACTGTTTCAACGGCAAGATGAGAAAACTAGCTCAATTGGAAATCTACTTCCTACCATCTTCGTGCATAGAAAACCATAGTAATTAACCAGCAGACGTCCACAAACCAAATTTTCCTCCCCGTATTCACGTGGCACGCAAATAGCAAAGCGTATGTTAATTTAGCCACTGATTATATCCAGCATCCTGTACGAAACAATATTCTGAAATACGTGTTCGCTAAACTTTCATTTTCGCGGGTACTTTCTTGTGTTTCCATATCTGTGCGAGCGCCAGGCAATAAGATACTCTTTAAGATCACTTTAAAAATTGTGCCCAATAACAGCGGTCCTAACGACAACGTGTTCATCTTCTACTCCGGCCATGGTGGGGCTTCCTATATAACCTTCCTAAAAGAATATGTAAGTTTCGTTAATTTTGCTAACCACGGTTTTGCAGGCTGTATTTATTGGAAGCTAACTAGTGAACGGATTGAAAAGGCTTACGTAATCATGTTGGTGCAATGACCTCGGTATTTCTTTATTAAACCCAGCTTGTAGTCAAGCTTTCTACACATCAATCGAAAAATGGAACGCATGCTGCTACGTCCGCACGTCATCCCCAGAAATTTAATTATGATAGGTCACGTCAAGGTGCTTTAAATGACACCGCCACACATATTTTGTTTTACGAAGTTTAAGGTCGTTGGACACACATGATTTCGCGGTCGATCCATTCAGACTGCCGAGCAAACTTAGGTATCATAAACAAAGAAGCTGGTCGTATACGGTCACCCATGAGTTGTAGGTGATACGAAGAACGCATCAACCGAATTGTGCCTGAAATGACAACATACTGCTATTCGCTTCCGGCGCGACAGAACGAATCTTTAAGAGTATGAGGATTTTGTATTTATGTATGACGAAACAATCCGTGATAGAAAGCCGAGAATCAATGTATAACTGTTCCATCCTTATTGGGAATCATCAATGTAACCGTTTGGCCACGAGCAAGGAACCAACATACTGATTTGTCCGCACTAATTCACGACATAACGTCGCTAATTCTTCAACCAAGGAATCCACATCACTGGTGACTGTTTCATCGAGTGCCTCATCCCGTGCTCACAAGAATTTTCTTCTTGTCTTGCGACAGTTGTATGCCATGGAGTTGAACGATACCCTCGCCTACATGCATTCAAAAAAAATGTTCAACAAATTAGTGCTGTACGTGGAGGCATGCTACTCTGGCTCCATGTTTAAAGATGTTATTCCTTCACATATGGGAAGTAAGTAGCGTAAATTTCTGGCTAATTCTTGCATGAATCCTGTGAAATAGCATTCATAATGTCACTCATATATGGTTTAGAGGCGGCTTTGACTAGTAAAACAGAAAGAAATTCCGAGCTCGGTTATTCATGTTCACTTCTCGATTTTATTATGAAAGTAGCCCCTGACTCTAAGCAAGTTGCTTTTGGCCGATGATAGCACAGAATCTAGCCTTCATCGAATAACGTCGCTTCCGCTGCAGAACCAGTGTAATCTGGGTGGAGGAAATCATTGTGCAACCGGTACAACCCCTGTGATATTTTGGTCTTTCTTTGCAGAGACCACCAATGCCAATCGATAACTTCATTGTAAATTTCAAATGAATGGTGCGTCTTTTATATAAGGCACACATGAACCCATCATACAACCGGTCTAATGATTGTTGCATGAATACCATTCACCGTTCTCGTCAGTGGTCTTTTTCCAGGGAGTTTTACCATAAAATGCATATTATACATTAACATGCTGATTTGATTTTGACGGACTGACCCGACCGAACCCCGAAACATACCGCGTTCATGAGAGTGTTTGACAATGTTTGCCCAGTCTGGTTCAAGGCTTAATTAAGTTTCAGAAAAATTCAACCACTCTGTCTACCTGATTAGCCGCAAGAAGCACGA